CCTCATTAAATATCTACTCTTTATCTTCTAAATGTTCCACACTGTGCACACGATCATTTGTACAGCCGCATCCAGAAATGATATGTTGGGGCCAGTGAGGGTAAATCAGAACATCATAGGCTTTGTGACTCTGTTATGTTCATACCTGAATGATTTTCCCTTTAGATTCCTCAGCAGGTCCAACTGATTCAGGGGTGGAATGATTCTGAGAAAAGACAAAAGCCTTGTATCAAGTGGTTTCCACCCCCTCACTCAGTGCTGGAAAAGGTTAACACTTGCCAATGGGTGTGTTGCAGCTAATTCCATTGACTTTGGCACTTGTCTATTCTGCTGGTCATCACCATTTCACCTCAAAATACAACTAGAATGAGTCTGAACATGAAGTGGTTTCCAGCTAGAACAGAGACGCAGCTATCTTCTTTTTCTAGATGCATAAAAGGCTGAAATCTGTGTTGTGAATTATGGCAGCTAAGATGCTGATTCATAGAGCTGGACAGCAAAATAAAGTGGTTAATTTTACAAAGTAGCCACTGGCAGTGTTTGTCTGTTGAACAGCATTTGAAAAAGGTTCTGGTGTCACTGCCAAGATTCCATCCTCATCCACCTATTAAAGCAGAAAGTTTAAAGCAGACAGTTGGAAGCCACAGTAGCTTCTGAGTCAACAAATGCATTTGGAATACAATAAGATGACAATATTCAGTAATTTCTATTTTTCATTTGGCTTTCTGATTTTAAGAAAACATGGCACAATGTGTTATAGTATGTCAAAACTGTTGTGTTTAGTGGAAATGCTGAATAGCGCATATCATTATCCAGTCACTTTTATCACTTACCTGTACATTGGAACAGCTACAGTCTGCTCATAAAAATCCCAAGTACACAGCAGGTCTGTACGGGAAAGATTGGTAGCATAAAACCTCCAAGCAGCCTGGATGGACAAACACAAAACTCTTTTAGCTTTTTATAAGGAGCACAAAACAAAGGTGGTTCCTGCTTGATAAACCTGTACATAGTGATGCTATGATAGAATTTTTCTTTGACATATACCTGAATGAGGCTTGCTGCAGGGTTTCGTCTCTTCTCAAAATGCTTCTGTCTATGCTGCTCTTGGACTTTGAGGGCAAAGCCAGAGCCCAGGATGCCCTGTACAGATTTAGAGTGACACACAGAGACCTTTATTGACCTCTATTGGCCAGGTATTGGAATTGCAACAATAGCAAGCAGCAACCAACACCTTGTAAAATCCTTCCTCAACAGTCCAGTGAACCATTCCAACAAAAACATCCAGTGAAGAGGTAATATCACAGGCTGTCACAGATGCCAAGCCTTGAGGTGAGAGAGATGTGAGTAAAAGCTGATTCCCTCTACATCCATCAGACATCATCATTTGTTTCTGCCTTGGTTAATTATTTCAGAATGCTTCCAAACAACCGGCTCCACGTAAAACCTGTGACACCTGATTAAACCACGCCACCCTACTGAGCAACAATATCATTCATTTGGAGTCATGCCTCTGTTCATCTGGCAATATTTTTTTATTCTTTAAATGTCTCTTTAGCTATTAAATATGCCACTACCTTCACAAGCTAGTTGTTATTATTTAGTTATTTTGGATGTTTGCCAAATGGCGATGGGCTGATAGCAAACTGTCACGTGGAGACAGCTTAGATGAAAGCATGACACTGAACTAAAACTAACATTACTGGGTTCGAAGTACTCCTGATGAACCCTCATACTTACAGCAGGAAGTGCAAAGAAGGCCACCCCAATCATGCTGAAAGTGGCTGCCAGCAAGCGTCCATACCAGCTCTTAGGAACCTTATCTCCATAGCCAATGGTGGTGAGAGTGATCTGGTGAAAAGAAATATCAAAGTCGCTACTTGAATTGAGTGGTGTTTTGATTATCTCTCAAAACTATAAAATGGATACTGTAGGATACTGTACTGTTTGTTTTTGGTTTTTGGTTGTTGCTGTTTTTTTGCAGTCTTACCAGTCCCCACCAAAGAGCATCAGCATAGGTCTCAAACTCCTGATTTGTCTCCTTTTCCACAGAGTAGACCAAGAATGAGGCCAGGATCAGGCACAGGAAACCTATGTACCACGCTGTGATGAGCTCCTACAGAGAAAACCAATACAGTAAGTGTCAGGAGACAGAGAGCAATAAAGTGGCATCTGCAATGTCTCACAAAATGGCAATCTAACCCTTGTGACTTGGTAAAAAATGTAAGGAGTATTTCAATTCTTTATTTACCTCAGCTTGTAATTTTTGGTACAGAAAATTTGCTAAAATAACTAAAATGTCCCAAAATAAATCCGTTTTCTGTACAAATATAGCAACTGAAGAATCATTTTTGAGAAGGTCCCACCCACTCAAGGACCACCGGGAACTTTTCAAAATTTTATTTTTTACCTTTGGTTTTGAGTCAATATTCAAACTACCCTAGTTTGTGTATGGATGTTGATAGCGTTCTACACAAAATGCAGACACTACTCAGATAAAGTATAAAATGCACAGGTATTGTAGAAATAATTCATTAGAAAACGACACATTCCAGGTTTTGCCAGGTCTGCCTCTACAAGAGCTTTCCATCTTGCCCCACATCAAACTTAATTTGACCCAACCTCTCATCACAAAACTGAGAAAAGTGTTTCGGCACCAGTCAACTATTCAACCTCTATAGAAAAACAAATAAAACAACAAACAAAACAATGTTACGATCACCTTGCTGTGGGCATAAACTACAGATCCGAGTAGCTTCCAGGTGCCTCCACGGCGGTCCATACGCAGCATGCGCAGGATCTGCAGGAATCTCAAACTCCTGATGGCCGAGGTGGCAAAAACATTGCCCTGAGATCCAGCTGCCAGTACAGACACTGAGGCAATCAGCACCATCATGTCTGAAAAGGAAAGCAACAGACAGTCACACACTATACACACTGGGAAACAAGGGAAACCAGACATAATAGGTCCTTGATTAAATCAGACTGAATTAACAACTCTTCAGTGAGGATCATTTTTTTGTAATTAGAAGGTCGTCCCAAGTAGTTTGTATTAGTAGTGCTAGATTTTCAGTGAGGTTTCTATGGTTTACTTTTAGCATGACATCAAGTCAAGGCTAAAAAAATCACATGAAACTGTCACAAAGACGGTATCACATCAGCCCGCATTTAAAAATGGAAGAAACTGAATGTGTGTCTCTTTTGTCACAGAGTAAGGGAAGAGAACAGCAAAACACAGGGCAACTTGATTTTCTCACCTATGACGCAGAAAGGCTTTCTGGCAAATTTGAGCCTCCCTCTCCATCCTCTGTATCGACAGCAGCAGCCAGCAGCCCATATCCTTACGATGTACTCCACTCCAAACACCACAATGGTCACAATTTCCTGAGGAACAAAGCAAAATGGTGGCGTTAATCCTATGACATTAATGTGCATGAAGTGTTACAGCAAATAAAGTGGTACTTACCAGGATGTATAAGGCACTCTCGGAGCTATTCTTGAACTCTCTTATGGTGGCAAAGACTGAGAGTATGAGACAGGAGAACACCAAGAGGAATCTGGAAGACGTATGACAAGGTACACAAAGAGTGATTTTCTTTTAACACATGTCACTTGCCAAAGTCAGTTTTAAGTAGGATGTGTAGGATATTCAGTGAAACTTAATTTATCACCCCCGACTGTATAAAACATTTGGGTAAAGCCTCTGTGTTGGCAGTGTTACATCTCACTGTGCTCATCTCTTAAGCCATAAAATAATAATTTTATATGATCAGTGTGTCAAGCACCATTAAAACACATGTATGTTTATGTGCTGAAATGTGTGCTGCCACCCCAGAATGGACATTTTGACTAGTGCTGGCCATAACATTTATAATGCCCAGTTCATATGGATAGATCAGAGACCTCTGTCATCACTTATCAGTGGGACTATTTCTTAGGCCTAAGTGGGTACAGCGGGGGACTGCATGAATAATTGGAGCTGCACACCCTGGGTGATGCATTTATTAGTGGAAGCAAGCCAAACTGCTTTAACAGCAGCAGCAGCACAGTCAGAACAATTAAATGAGTGTGTAAATAACAAAGAACTGAAGGTACACAAGATGCTTACTTCGCTGAATAAACTGAATGAATCTGTTTCAGTCCTCTTACAATTTTACACGAAAAACCTCAAGTGACCCTAGCTGAACATGTGCAGGTTATGTACACACGAGTGCAGAACATAGAGTCTGTGCAACAGCTCATTAGACATTCTGAGTGTATTTACTAGCAGTGTCAGCCGGCAGTGCTTCAATAGAAAGATAAAAACTTTTCAACTACCTCCTTACACTCTACGCATGTTATTTCGCTTCTGCAGAGGTCACTGAAAACAGCCCTGCAAGCTGTCGTTGTACCTCCTTGGTACAAAATGGCTTCAGCAACTGCAGCTATTGTAAGTTCTTCATGTCAAATGAAGAACTGGCTCCTGTAAAATTGCAATGAATATTCATTAATATTACTTTATGTACTCTTAAAAAAGCAGTAACTTGTTGTAAGTATACTCTAATGTAACTCTTTTATAACTTTTATAAAGGAAAATTCTTGGCCTGTATAGGTTAGTATCTGTTTTTAACATGAAAATTTTTTTTAAGTACACAAAATTTAATTTAAAATTAAAAGAAAAAAACAGCATTTGAATTTAGTGTTTTTTTTATTTTATTTATTAAACTAGTTGTTATAACTTGGGCAATAGCACTGACCAATGTATAGACAGTGAATGAAATGCTGTGGACACAGAAGTTAGCTGGCTGCAAGTCTAACTGGATGTCAGTTTAGACAGCTTTCCTGACTCCACCTTGCCAAGCTCATCAGTACCCACTAATAAGGATACGTGCTGTTAAAGGAGTGGGGCAGGACCTGCCTTCAGAAACAGTCAGATGATTAGCTTGTATCATTTCCTTTATCATCAGCAGAGTGAAGCATCTAAAGATTCATTTATACAGTACACTCCATCATACACACGCTTATGGTAGTGAGAAAGCCTGGGTGGGGCACATAGCCAAATAGGCCTATTTACAAGTTCAAGCAGGGCAATAAATATGTCAATATAATATACTGTATATGTTAATTTCATGTATCCGGCTTACTAGAACATATCAAGAATTCATTTACAGTGTTTGACAATAATGACAGTTAAAATCTGAGATTTCTCAATTACCCGCTTTGTTTAGAGTCTCTTGTCATCGCTACATATATCGTTGTTTACCTATCTGTGGAGGAGAAATTCTGATTAATTTATGCCGTTGTGGCTTGTCGTGCTGTCAATTTTAATATTTTGACTTGAACATGTCAGGTAGGATCTGAGGTACTAACACTGTCAAAAAGGTAGCACGTTTGTGAAAGTTTTTTGGTTTGTGTTGTTGTAGTTTCCTGACCAGCAACAGTAGTTGTGCTCGTTCACGAACTATCCTCTTCAGTTCAGGAGGAGGCTCTTGGGTTTTATTGAACTGAAATAATTACAGACTATTTGGAGTTATGGTGCAAAGCTAATCTAAAGGGGCCCAAGATTAAACATTAAATGGCTATTGATGCCATGGGCGCTTTAAAGGGGACAGGGTGCTGATTTATTATTAGATTACCACACTGGTTTCATTTTATTGGCCACATTCTGATACTGCACACACACAAACACAGAGCTCATTTTTTTACAGACTGTCATCTTGAATGCCACCTCCCCCACATAGTGAAAATCGCATTCAGTTTTGCAACCAAAAAAAACAGCCCTCACACATCCACATGTTGCCAGAGAGGTAGTAGGAACGTAACTATTGATCAGTCAAGTTGAGGGGGATGTTGTTGGAGGCAGACAAGCTTGCATTTCCTCCTGAGCTGCAGATAAAGAAACATTGATTTACCCTGCTCAGCACAACATTGCCTACCCCGACATAATTATCACGCTAAACTTAGACTGCAACAAACTCAAGGAGAGCAAATAAGGAAGAAAGGATTTTTCATTAAGGAAATAGTGCCTGTGAGGACTATGCGCTAGCATTGCGGCATCCATTCCTCGGGGAGTGTTTGAGGGTGATGATGTTCTGTGGCACTTATCTTGTGTTAGCAAATGCACAAGTGCCCCCTGCTAGCATAGCGACCTGCTATCATTGTGTTCTTTATGAAACACAGAGGGTCCTTGCTGTGCATGCAATATTCCAAACAGCCTCTGTGGCTTCATCCATCCATGTACCAGTTATCTGTACTGATTATCCTGTAGATCAGGGGTGTCAAACTCAATCTAACAGGAGGCCAAAACTCAAAGCACACTTTAGGTCGCGGGCCGAACAGGATAAACATTTATTGAAAAGAGTAAAACTAAACGTTTTTTGAACATAAATATGAATCGAAACAGACAGGATACAATATTATTCCAAAATAAATAAACTTGAACTTAAAATCAGTAACCGTATTTCTGTTAACTCCTCTACCTTCTGTAGCTTCTGCTCTGCATTCACGTTTTTCAGCTTGTCCCGATGTTTTGTCTCGTAGTGCCGTTTTAGGTTATATTCCTTAATTACAGCCACATTAGCTCCACAAATAAGACACACGGGTTTACCGACAATGGCAGTAAACATATAATCAGCCTCCCACCGGTTTAGAAAGGCTCTGTTTTCAGAATCAACTTTTCTCTTGGCCATTGTTAGGGGCTAACTTTGACTTGAAATTAGGGTTGTAAACATCAATCGACGCTTGATTGATCTGACGTAACTGACGCAGGTAGCCTATCGTTCGGTGAGGCAGCTGTTGCGCTGCATTATGGGATTTGTAGTTTGTGCGTTATCGGCGTTTCATATCGCCGGGCCATTAAAAAAAGATATATAAAATGATCTCGCGGGATGTAGTTGTACGCCGGGCCGGATGTGGCCCGCGGGCCTTGAGTTTGACACATGTGCTGTAGAAAATAAGCCAGTCCCGCTGACAGAGGCAAGGTACAACCAAGACTGGTCCTCAGTGTACCTCTCTCAGCTCACTTCCTGTATATTTCATGTGCAAAATAAAAAGCATTTATGAGCTTTACTGATATGTCATATCAAGAAGTGAGTATCTGCTCTCTTGTTAATGCAAGAGCTTCCAACCAGCAGATGCAGCCAGCAGAAGAGATTGTGGGTCTACTGGTCATGGCAAATGAATAATTTAACCATATAAAAGAATAAAAACCCGCTGAGACTACAGAGTAAAATACTGTAATGTGAGATGCTGCTCACTAAGTTTGTTTGTTTGTTTGCTGTTTGGTCTGGCCATACAGTGGGAGCCTTTCCACTAAAGCAATACACTAAAACAAAACAGTAAAGTTGGAAGCCATAAAATGGAAACAGTGAGCTGATAGGTGATGCTCCATATAGCCGAGGAGAACTACAAAGTCATTATTCACTGTAGGTTTAACACTGCAAGCATCTCCTCTCACATACAAGTAGTCATGTGTTTTGTTGTTAGTTTTATAAGTCAAGCCATTTTAGAAAATTACAGTATGGAAAAACAACCTGCCATTACTGTCATTACTGATTTCACAGACCAGTAAAAAAAAACACAATCAACCTTTGCTGAGGGTCACCCACCCAGTCTGACCCTAACTTCATAAATACGTAAGAAGTGTAACAGTAGCATGAGCAGAGAAGGGACATATAATTGATTCAGTAATGTCAGTTTCACATTGATATTTATACTGACCCTGACAGTGCTAAGCACAGATGCTTTTTATGAGAACTCTCATGTAAACATCATAAAGGGGAACATTAAAAATGATTAAAGTATCACTTTTCTGGGGCCTCAAACCAAAATAGCAGTGGGACACGATCATTCCTAACCACACCCAGCTACAGGACTCAGCATCCAGACCTCCAGGTCCTCACATCAGATCCCTCTTCTCCTAAAGCAGACCACTCCATTACAGCTTGGCAGCAGCATCTGTCTGCTACTGTCTTCACCTTATCCCCCCCAATGTGTTCTCAACTGGACAGCTCAGCATAATAGTGAATAAGTGGTCCATGTACTGCTTGCCATCTAAACTCTTTGTTTGGTCTTATATAGTACCTTTCTATGCAATGACACACACTAAAAGTGCTTTACACTATTTACACACACATCAGTGATATCACATGAAGCAAATACAGGTTGAAGCAGGGAATCAAACCACCAACCCTCCGGTTAAGAGATGACCCGCTCTACCTCCTTAGCCACAGCCCTCCTCTCTTTGCTGGTTTTTCAGTAATAGGCTTGTGTTCCATTTTGGTGCAGACCTGACACATCTTGTCATCTAGCAGCTGACAGCTGATGCTTCCTGTGAGACAACTCATAGTAACGAGGCGCCTGTTGAAGACAAAACTGCAAAGATCTGTATTGGTGCAGGAACATGACAGAGCTTAGATAGATCAGGATGCTAAGCTGTTGACACGTACCTGACAAATCAAAAGTCTGTCAAATTGTCCTTCCTGATAGATGCCGTGTCAACAAAGGACATAGACAGACAGCAACTGTTTTGCTAACAGCAAAATATCTGTCACCTTTTTGTCATTCCAGTCACATTGAG